ACTCTTTCTAAAAAAAAAAAAAAAAGTCAATGGAAAAAATATCCTCAGCTGAGGATTAAAAAAAAAAAAAACAAACTCAAAAGATTCAAGCTAATTCTCTTAATAAATATAAGTTTAGATAAATACTTAACAAAGTGACTGCCATGTTCACACAACTCAGAACTCTTACCATTGATCACTACTGGTTGTTGCCTCTAGTAAAGTCTGGTAAGCAAGTTCCATTAATTTCTTCACAGATTCACTAACACGACAAGTGGGCAAAGAAAAGGAATGTTGGTCCAATGTATTTTCAGGCTGTAAATTCACCATTTCATTGTACTGAGTTGTGGACATTTTCTGTATTTGTAGCTTGTCATCCTCATCAGAGGTGGGTAAGTCAGGCACACTGATCTTAGAGTCAGGAATAATCTAAGATTCAACATAGAAACAGAAAAAGCACTATCCTCAGAATAATTCAAATGCAAGCATACAGTGAAGAATAAGATATTGATGATAAAGCTATGGCTCTATAGGGTAATAGAAAGATTTGAGTAAAGCCCCGGCCAGGTGGTTCAGTTGATTGAATGTTGTCCCATGCACCAAAAGGTTGCGGGTTCAATTCCTGATCAAGGCATATACCTAGGTTTCGGGTTTGATACCCAGCCAGGGCATGTGCAGGAGGCAACTGATTGATGTCACTCTCTCATATCTTTGTTTCTCACTCTCTCTTCTCGCCCTTCCTCTACATGGCAGTTATTTTAATGACTGCTCAATCTTAGGTTGAGAGCATGTCCCTAGAAATAAGCAATTCTTTTTACTATAATTCTTCCAATTCTTCTGTGCACTAATTTGGTGAAAATACAAAACCAATAAAGCTTCTCTAACACTTACATGAATGAAAATTCCCAGACTTAGTCAAGACTAAAGGGAAGAATACTAGGCTGTTAATTTGGAAACATCCGTGATATTTTTTACCCTAACTTTGACAAAGTCATTTAACCTCTCTGGACTTCAATTTTCTCATTGTACAAGAAAGAAAAATTGTACTGCAATATGATTTTCAAACCTTGCTGCTTAAAGATGCCCTAGGGGTCAAAAAAAGGAGAGATTAAGCATGTAGAAGCAGCAGGTTCCCTAATCCCACTGCAAGAAGAGCAGCCCTGCTCTTCATATACTGGACCTCTACAGAAAATGTATGACAGAACAAGTTCAGTCTGATAAAAATGTTTAAGTTATCAGACTTGCCTTCCAAATCTGTAAAAGAGTATAATAGTATCTACTTCATTGTGCTGTTATGAAGTTTATATAAGAATACAAATGTCAGGGACCTATTAGTCAAAATTATGGCTACCATCCGAATACAGAAGAAAAAGTATAATTATAGAGATGTTTAGAAAAATGCCAATGTTTGTCTGAAAACTAGTGGACCCAGAATACACGACTCAAAACAGTGACTTCATGAGGAGGGTGAGGGAACCTCAAGATGGAAGAATATAAGATCTAATATGACACCTGGCAGGTTAAAATGTAAAAACAAAACAACAAAAAACAACTTTAGATGTTTTATGAAAATAGTGGGTACACATAGGGAATTGTTTTAGAGAAAATTTAGATGAAGACTAAGAAAGGCAAATTAAATTGATTTATGAAAAAAGGAAGATGAGCTTTCCAAAGCTGGGCAGTTTAAAGTATCTAATTCCAGGGCCTTCATGCCAAGAAAAAGAACCAGGTTAGAACCTACAGCAGATGTTCTTAACTAAGAACAATTTTGCCTTCCAGGGAACATCTGGCAATGTCTGGAGACATTTTTGGTTAACAGGGCAGGAAAGTTGCTCGTGGCATCTGTGAACAGAGACTAGGGGTGCCACTAAACTTCCTACAGGCCAACCCTCCAACAGCAAAGAATTATCTGATCCCAACTATCAACAGTGCCATGTTGAGAAACCCTGATCTAGAAGAAGCTACGTATTAGGATTTGGGCACTCAGAAAAAAATAATAGTTTTATAGAAAGTCAGAATTAGTTGAACAAGAAGCTTAGAAATTATCTAGTTCAATTTTGTCATGTTACTGAAAAGAGAAATGAGGTCCAACAAGGTTAAAATATTTAGCTCAGAGTCACAGAGCAACACAGTAACAATCCTATTTATATCAAAGAGTTATGACAGAGGCAAGTGAGATATATATTAATTCATTTACCAAATCCTTACTGAATACTAGGTATATAGTGGTGTGCACCAGGTATTTTCTTGGTGCTGGAGATACACAGTCCCCTTATGGAGCTTATTTTCTAGAGTAGGAGGATTATTTTTTTAATCCTTACCCAAGGATCTGTTTTTATTGATTTTGGAGAGGAAGGAGAGGGAGAGAGGAACATCAATGTGAGAAAGAAACATTGACTGTTGCCTCCCATGCCCACCCAGACTGGAGATTGGACCTGAACCTGGGTATGTGCCCTGACCGGGAATTGAACCCATGACCCTTTGGTGCATGGGACAATGCTTTAACTAACTGAGCTACACTGGCCAGGGCAGAGGTCACAATATTAAAGCATGGTCAGGAAAGGGAGCAAGTCATGTAGCATGACTTGTGGTAAAAATGTTCCTAACAAAGGGAACAAGAGACTCAAAGGTTCTGCAACCAGTGGTCTTAGCAAATTCAGGGAACAGCAATATTGGAAGCCCAATACAATAGCACCTGGAATTTGAGGCAACAGGAGCACAGATCACGTAAGGTCTTATAGCTACTGTAATGTTACTGGTTTTGTGCAGAAGAGTTACATAATCAAGTGATATTTCTATTAGAAAAACCCACAGCACAATTCCTGGTAATCAGTAGATTTCAACTCTCTTAACAATCCAAAATTACCTCAAAATGTGTTACTACTATCTATGCCCTCAAATGGCTAGCTAAAGTGGACACAGTAACAGGTTATTCCTAAGGACGATGGAATATGGCCGAAGGGATAAAAGGAAAAGAGTAGAGTACCTGCAGTGATAGAAGAAAAATAGCTGAGCAATTTTCTATTAAGAGATTACTTTAGTCAATGTGTTGTTTTAAACTAATAATTCCTTACATTTACCAAATATTACTTTATGTTTGTAAGGTATGAAGATAAAATAAAACAGAAGTGAACACACAGAAATATCTAAGATCAAAGGAGTAACTTACCCTCAATGCAAATTAAGCAGTCCCTTAACTTTGCAGATAATTTGTTTACACTTTACATAGTTCACATTTTTATTATTTTAACTTCAAAACTAGTGCCTAAAAGATGAAGTCAACATTTTCACAATAGAATGTAATCTCTGGACATAAATAAAGCCTACCTGTCCCAAAATTGTGTACTAAAAATTAAGTAATGAAAAAAACATATAGGTTGGCATTTTACCTAATTTCAACAATAGTAGTGCATTACATTTATGTAGACTTCTTCAATTTATATAATGCTTTCATGTGCATTACTTTATCTGGACTTCACAATACCCTATGAAAGAGGTAAATAGTAGGACCTTTAAAGGTAAGAAAACGAACATTCGGAAGATTAATAACTCCCACCATGAGCTCAGCAACTGTCATGCCCTCTTCCAGTCTAACATATTCATCTCAAAAAGGAGCTGCTTCCTGAACACTGTAATATACCATAAGCCCAATACCTTCACAGTGTTGTGAATTTCAGAGGTCATTAGGTTTCTAGCCGCCACAATCACATCCTGACACTTCTTATTAGCAAAATGAGAATTAATGTTACGGGCATATTTTAGCAAATCAGTAGTATCTCCTTTTAAAAACCTCATCTCCTTTAAGGCATTTTCAAATTCTTCAGTGGATTGTATGATCTGACAAATACAAGAAAAAAACAATAATTATATACATATATTCCATTTCAATATTAAAATTTCAAATCCAATGAAAAGAACTGGACCAACTGGTTATTTAAGTTTTAGAACAAATCATCAATTACTAGGAATAAAACTATCAGACATTTTTTTTCCTGCCTTAAATTAATTAGGAAGAGTATCTTCAATAGAAATTTCTGATTCTATTTGATTAAGGTACAAAGACCTTTAAAATAAATATACTTATTTTAGTGTTTAAGGAAAGAGTAAAAAGAAACGAGAAAGCAGTGCCACATAGTAACTACTATAACTGATACAAGTATAAATACAAGAACAATTGTTTTGCAAAAGTATCTTACTAAAGAAAATACACTTAGTAAGAAGGTGCTTCCCAATCAAATGGTAGGAAGCCAGGAGAAAAAGGAAGTTATGAGGAATTTGCTTCTATTCCTTATTAGTAATTTTTTTAAAGATGTCACTAAAGAACTAAAGATCTAAAAAACAAACAAAAAAACAGCAACAGAATCCCTGACACCAATAAGAAGCTAATCTCTTAAATCTCCTGTGATATCTCTGCTCTTACCTCCTCATATTGCTGTAACTTGCTGCTATTTGTTGGGATAGAATAAACCAAACAGTTTTTAATGAGGCACTCAGACAAGTCCTCCCAGATCATGTCACCAAGCATCTCAGCCAATATGATCTTAGATGTTTTTTCATTTTCTTGATCAGTATCAAGAGGCAAATCTGAATTCAAAAGAAAAAGTTTAAATAAGAAACCATTCAAAGTCTAGATTATTCTCAAGTTCCTTAGTGTTCTAGAATTCTTTGGTTGTAAGATGAAGGGGAAGAAAATGGCACAGATAATTTTATAACCATCTCAACTGATTGCATGGGGGTAAAGCATGACATACAATCATCATTTTATCTTTCACTGCGCAAATGAATCATCTGCACTGTATTTCTGCCTGTATTCTATAGCAATAAGGTATTAAGCCATCTACATTATAATCATCTACTGCTAATGTACTGATCTGATTCTATGAAAAGTACTCAGAAATTCTGCATATAAAGTTGAAACTAGTTTAGAATAAAATCCCCATTCTTTAATAATACTTTTTTCATCTCTGCAAAAGAACTGAGTTTTTATCCTAGTAAAATACCAATAAACACATAACATTATTGTATATTTAGTATAGTAAACAGAATACTTCAATACCTTTTCTATAGTATACCTTGAGGGAATTATAATTAGAATACACTATTCTATTAAGAAATACTTATCTTCAAGATATTCTTGGAACAAAATGCTGGCCAAATATTTAATAATCAGGGATAAAAAATGGCAATGTTTTCCATTTAGATCACATTGCATACGAACAAACTAAATGTGAAGTTCCATGGAAAGAAAACTTATTTGTGACCTCATAAGAATTGATACTGCAATTAAACCTTTTCATAGTACAGATCAATAATGATATCATTTTTCTAACAAAACTCAAAATGCAGAAGATTTTAATTGTAAACTGGCTGTCAAAAATACCAACAAAAGAATTCAAAGAATGCTTTTCTGATATTGATAAATTTAGAACTTTTTAAAATTTTATGCAAAACTGCTTTGAATTCTATGTTAAGAATAGTAAGTTGGTTCATGGTTAGTGAATTTCCTTAACTCAGCCACAGTTTTGAAACTGATATACTTTTGCTTTAAGGTCAAATCAGTTCATTTAAAAGGGATGAACTAAATTTGTTGGTGTAGGTGAAAATATTATAGGAAAATGATTATTTTGGTACTCAACACAGCTACTGGAAATTTTTCAGTACATCTGGAACAACTTGGATATAGAACCTACTTTTTCAACTAAATTTTCAGTATGTTTGGAACAACTTGGACATGGAACTTACTTTTTCAACTGTAAATTTTGTGACATTTAAATACAGACCAAGTATTTCTAGGGAAAATTTACATCCAATTTGAGATGCACTTAAGTATAAAATACTCACCAGATCTAGAAAAGTTCATATAAAAATATAAAATAGCTTATTAATAATTTTTATATTGATTATATATTGAAATGATATTTTGGATATATTGGGATAAATAAAATATATTATTAAATTGGAAGTTCATGTTTCATTTAACTTTTTTATGTGGCCACTGGAAATTTTAAATTACATTATGTAGCTTGCATTTTATTTCTATTAGACAATGCTGACCTAGACCGCAGCTCTAAATGCATTTACCAAGTGATATAAGCAGCTAGTACATTGCCTTCCTCTATATGGATATATGCAAACATACCAGAGAAGAAAGTTTGGCTCACACCATATAATCCATTTTGCAGCTTTGCCCCGCCTTCAGATCATCATAAACATTCACCAAACTATTAAAAATGATGATATTCCTATTTTGCTTAGTTTTTTATTCGCAAATGTCACTAAATTTTGGCATATTTTCCGTATCTAATGATGCAATGACATGCTGACATAATGAACTGTTTGATAGCTTTCTTATGCTGAACCATCTTTTTGGACTCCTAAAATAAATCCTTGGTCAGAAAGTGTCCTTTTTAAAGGCACTATTGGATTTATTTAATTTTTCTTAATGTTTGCATTTATAAATCAAAGGTAAAATCATTCTATAGTGATTAATTTGTGAGTAAGCAACCATTATTACATTTTGGTATTAAATGTATGCTGTTTTTTAAAAATATATACTTACTGATTTCAAAGAGGAAGGGAGAGAGAGAGACAGAAACATCACTGATGAGAGAGAATCATTGATCAGCTGCCTCCTGCACACCTCACAATGGGGATCAAGCCTGCAACCTGGGCATATGCCCCGAATGGGAATCTAACAGTGACCTCCTAGTACATAGGTCGACACTCAGCCACTGAACCACACCAGCTGGGCTAGGCTCGTTTTTTAAAAATTAAGTAGGGCATTTCTCCTCTTTTTCTATTGGCCAAAGAGCTTACTTTAAAAAGGGATTATCTGTAATTTGAAGAACACGCAGAATTTAGCCATAAACCTTCGGTGTCTAATGGTGACTTTTTTAGTGCCAAGTCTTTAACAACCTTTCAAATTTCTTCTATAATTATTTGTATGCTCAGAGTTTCTGCTTCTTCATAAATTTTAGTAATTTAGTTTCTAGAAAATCATGGCAAAAACAAAATATGCTTGCTGTCACAAGACTAACACTACTAAGGTTTATAAAGAAAAACCCCAAATTTACCCTCTCCACACCCATAAGGTTATCTTTCTTCTCTCCTTGCCTATGACACATTTTAAGTTTGGTTGGTATTCTTCCTCCCTCAGACTCATACAAAAATAAATATAAATATGAATTTGTGAAATATGTGCGTGCGTACACGTATACACGTACACACGTACACACACACACACACACACACACACATTTGATTTGGACTGATTATTTCTTTAGGGCCGAATCCTAGAAATTGAAATCCTACTTTAAAGGATAAAACATCTTAAGGCTTTTTATCCATTTGCCAAATTCTTACCAAAAATTTTCATTTTCCTCTTTTAAAAGCTTCTTTGTTGTTGGTATATCATGCTTAATAATAAAGAAAATATGAAAGAAAAAAATACATATTCAAATATAAAAGAATGGGCAAAAGCCTTTATGAAGTTTCAGAATAAGTAAAACCCAAAGAAAATAGAGGATTCCAAAAAGAACTAAGGAATCTAAATATGATTTGATGCTCTCTGAGCCAGAAGGGAAAGAATAAATGGTAAAAGAGAAACTAAAGCCTAAAATGCATAATGATATGAGAAAAGCACCTGCCAATACTAAGTTGTCTTCTGCTCTGCATATCCTAGGTACTAAGAAAACTTACAAATAAAAAAACAGGCCCTAGTCGGTTTAGCTCAGTGGATAGAGCATCAGCCTATGGATTTAAAAGGTCCGGGGTTCGATTTCAGTCAAGAGCACATGCCTGGATTGCAGGCTCAATCCCCAAGAGGGGGTGTACAGGAGGCAGTCAATGATTCTCTCATCACTGATGTTTCTCTCACTCTCTCCCTCTCCCTTCCTCTCTGAATTCAATAAAAAAACAAACAAACAAAAAAAACCAGGTTGAGTACTAATTAATTTAATGGAACAGGGTCAAACTGTCAAGTGATTTCTACTGTAATTCCCCAGGACACCCACCCCCTCTGGGCCTATTTCAGGCAACAGTATCATTACTGACTTAGACTGAACTATAAGAAAACATGACTAACAATTATGCACTCAGATAAAGTAGGAATAGTAAACACTATAACATTGTATCAAGAAAAATTTAACAAAGATTAAGGTGAATTTTTTAAAAATCAAGTACAAGTGTTAGATAAAAAAAGTAGCAATTTACATTGAGTATGACATTGGACTTACATTTACCTTAAGCTCAATGAGTTAACTGTGTAATAACAGTCTTTGGCTATACTGTAAAAACCATTGAACTGAGGAGAGCATAAATGCTCCCCTAGTCTTCTGAATTGGCTAAGACTACACCTAGAACACTCATTGTTTTGAACACTATAACTTAGCAAGAGGACTACTGAAGAAATGGAATATATTCACGTTATCATTAAAGATAAAGGGAAACTTAAAATTATGTCATTCAAAAAAAACCTTAAGGATGTTTATATTGGTGATAAGATGTAGGGGAAATAACAGCTCCTGTAAAGAATTTTAAAGCTCATCATGTATCATAAGAATTAGACTTGTTCTACACAGCTCCATATAATAGAAACAGCTTCAATAAAGCAGACATTACAAGGCAGTATATTTCAAATACATTTTTTAAACCACTACACTAAAGATTTAATGTACAATATGCATGTTTTGGGTAATAGTATTTAATATAGAAAGGAGATATGATTTTTAGAAAAATAAAGAAAAACTTCATAGTACTCAGAGTTGCCCAAAAGTAGAATAAAATGCCTCAAGAGGAAATGATCCTCTCACTAAAGGTGCTCAGCTTGGTTTTATGGACAACTGATGTGAGTGTTTTAGAGGAGATATTTGGATTGAATCACTTTTCTGTTTTCTTTTAATCCTTGGATATTTTGTTTAAAACACTGCTTATATCTAATAAAAATTAAAGTGAATTATCTCCGTAAGTGAAGGAACAAGAAAACTACCTGGGATTTTGGTAATTTATACAAGCCTTGAGATTTTTTATTCTCTACTATCAAAATTAGAAAAAATTCCTAGCATTATTTATTCCCTATGTATTAGTATATGACTGCCAAGAAGGCATATAAACTATACTAGAATTTCTGTTTTATTCTCTCCACAGGAAGAATGCTTGATTTAACTATTCAATAAGACAACTGAGAAAAGCAAAAAGGTATGTCAAACAGACTAAACAAAAAACAAACACAAAAAAGTATTAAAATAAAACACCAGAAGAAATTTTACTTTTATTAGTATGACAACCAAAAAAATGATTTAAGCAATACAGAAACTGGTTATTTCATATGTAAATATATAAAGACCTAAACAATAGTTTCAGTTGGATGTCATTCATTTCCTACGTTATCCCTAGTTTGTTTATGTCACATGAACGGATTTTCCCACTAAAATATGTAAACCAGCACTTGGTTCATTTCTGTTTCTCCTATAATAAAAGCAGGAGTTCCAAAATGTGAGGTTACCAGAAGTCAAGTGAGAGAAGGGCATCCTAGAATTCAACTAAGAATTACAAATACAGAATCTGGGGTAACACTGATAACCCTACCTGTCAACATAGGGCAGAGAAGAAATACAAAGTAGAGCAAGATATAAGAAGGTAACTACTTTTTTAAAAAAATATATATTTTATTGATTTTTCACAGAGAGGAAGGGAGAGAGATAGAGAGTTAGAAACATCGATAAGAGAGAAACATCGATCAGCTGCCTCCTGCACATCCCCCACTGGGGATGTGCCCGCAACCCAGGTACATGCCCTTGACCGGAATCGAACCTGGGACCTTTCAGTCCGCAGGCTGACGCTCCATCCACTGAGCCAAACCGGTTTCGGCAAGAAGGTAACTACTTTGTTCCCATGGCATAACCTACTCACCTCTAATGCTCCACTAAGATTATGGTCATTTTATCTACTCTCAAATAATATTTACTTTCAAAAACCATGACTTTTCCAAAATACAAAAAGCCCTTGGAGATACATACCTAGAAGATGTTTCTGGAGCACTTCCAGTACCAGCCTGACCTTTGCAAAAACTTCAGATGGTGATGGATGCTCAAAGTCAGTCATCACAGATTCAAAACGAATGATGATGATGTTAGGCTGGCTTTCTACCACAGCAAAAAGGGAGGGGCAAGATGCCAGAGGCCTAAGGATATACTTCAGCAGCATCTGCCCTGAAAAATTATATGAACACTCATAAAAAATCACCAGAATAAACTTTTATATAAAACTATGTAAAAAAAAGAAAGATCTTTGAGTCTAACAACAAAAATACTTATATAACATTACACACCATATATTATACACTGAAGGTTTTCCCACTGAAGTTTCCCAGATTATCTATAGATTTTTATTTAAATTATTAAAAAAACAGATAAACAGCAGCAGCTAGTTTAAAAAATAAAACAAAGAAAAGTAACTAAGCCCTTAAGAAAAAGGCAAATGCTTATGACAATTCCATTTGATGAATTATGAGGCCAAACCCTACGATCTATCATCAATGTTATCCAGAGAATATTTTATAATATTTTCTGTCATTCCTTTAATAATGGACCTTCTGAGATTTCATGTAAATGAAACAACGTAGTGTCCCTTACCAAATGATTTAAGCTTGGTATGTAGCTCTCCAAGAATAGAAAATGCCAAGAGGACAGAGA